GAGGGGGGGGGTCTTTCGAATATCGATCTCCCACGTTCTCTCCCAGTCATTCACTCTCTCTCCGTGCAGTTCCACGTCCCTCTCGCCGCCCTGTTTCGCGCATCCCCGTACTCCCAGGAACTGTGGAAGGGGTGTGAGATAGGGAAGAGGGGGGCGTCGAAGGGGGAGGAGGGGGTTTTACCCGGAGGTCCCAGCCAAAGCCCGGGGGAGGAGGACATTCACCAGGGAACGCGCCATCACCAACCACCACCACCACCATCTCCGCTAACATCACCATCGTCGTCGTCACCACCACCATTAACCGACATCCAGAAAAATGTCCTCCGAGAAATTGGTTTACCGGATCCTCTGCGGCACCGTATTCGCGCGGAATTATTCCGCCACCCCCTCCCTCCTCCCTCTCCACAGCGGTGCATCTAATTCGCGCGTTCTCCCTTTGGAAATTCGTTACGAACAGCCACGGCGCGCGCTTCGCGGTTTTCACAGCTGTCCATATTCGCAAAGGGAACGAGATTGAAATGGGCGAAGCGCGGATCTCGGCGTCGTGGATGCCACGCGGATAATTTCAGGCGAGAATAAATCTCATCTGCCTAACTAAACTTATCCGCCGAGACACGCCGCACGTTCGATCGCGTATCCGCTCTTCCGCGACCCTCCTTGCTCGCGAGCGTCGATTTAAAAGCGCGTCCCCTCCCGACGTTTCGCGCTACGGGACACGCTAATCGTGAAATAGTAATCGTCCTGCTCCGAACGGAGACCCACTCGCGAAGACCTATTTCTCCCGTAATGACCCGATACAATTCCCCGCGCACCCTCAAGCTTATACAAATCGGCCATCGTGGTAAATCATCATTACTCGCACGATCATTCCCCGGTCCCTCTCTTAAAATTCGAGAGGCGAGTAATACCCGGCCGAACACCGCCGGCGCCATACGTCTTAATCTACTTGATCTACTCGAAGCCGAAATTCGTCGCCGTGGAACCTATGAAGCAAGCAAACGAGCGGAGCGAGCGAACGGCCTCATCTCGTTCGTCAAATTATTCGCGAAAATGCCCCGCCGCCGCAACGAGTGCGCCGTTATCCTCCACCCTCGTCTCCAACCACCCCTTTCCGCCATTGCCCATCCCGGATCATCGCCCCCCCCCCCTCTGCCGGAACCGGGAGTCTGCGATAGGTGTGCGAGCACACCTTACGCCCGTGCTGCTGCACACGCGTCGAACGGGGTGTGCACGAATGCCCGGGCATGAGAGCCTGCACACGTACCGTGTTGAGGGGATGACGGCCAAAGCACGAAGGCAGAGAGAGAGAGAGAGAGAGAGAGAGATAGCTCCGCCGATGTGCGCCTTTGTGACGATCGAATTTCGTGCACGCGAATTACGTGTTCAATCATCCACCCACCTAGCCCCTGCTAGCCTAGCCGTCCTATCCATTCTCGTCCGGGTATTACATAAGCTCGCCGAGCCGTGGGGGAGGACGAACGATCCAGGAAGCTAGGTGGGATCGGAAATAACAGGGATCGGCTTGTAATTAGCATCTGATCCGATCTCGACGGGCAAAGTCGTTTTGATCCTCAGCGTTAAGACGGCCCGATCGGATGCGAGGGGCTGTCGTCGAGGAGAGCGTGGAAGAGCGATCGCTCCTGATATCGCAAATTTATCTTTATTGCCTGGATATCGTGCGATAGTCCCGTCGTTACAATGACGGAGTGCAATTCCTGTTTTTCACGAGGGTCGCTTAAGAAAACAATAACATAGTCGATCGTCTCTGTAAACGCGCGAATCGATTGCTTTCGCCACCCGTTCGACGCGACATCGCGATACCGTTTTCTTAACTTGCGGAGGTATAAATTATACGATGAATACGTATATATATAACAATATCTATTCTTGATTTAAGACTATTTTTGTTTCTGTGCGACCTGGCCTCACCGACGGTCCTCGTCTACTCTTATTTATCCGTTCGCGTTCCGTCGTGCAGATGCTTGCACGCTGCTTGCAGCGAGGTATATATCGATTCAACGGAACCAAGGAAACCGGGATGGACTGACTCGACTGGCGGTGTCGCGCAGTCTACGTGGCCGCGGCCGTTGTGGTCCGAGTGAAGTCCTCCGGGTTGAAGTCCAGCCGAGACATGTCCGAAGACACCGGTACGTACTCGTGTGTGCTCGTCGATACGCCGTCGTCGTCATCGTCGTGGTAATCGTCGTCGTCTTCGAGCCGGCCCGTACCGCGTTCGTGACTGCACGCGCTATCAGCGATCTGTCCGCGCGATCACGCGGGACGTGTCCGTGTATACCGTTTCCCCGATGGATCTCGCTCGCTCGCGATCCGTCGGATCGATCGGATCTAGCCCCGTCGAGGGGGTCACGCGAGGATCATCACGCGCTCGCCGATTGCACCTTGACATTTTCCCCATCTCTCGCGCCGACCCGAAAACTCGCGGCAAGCCCGGCAGCAGCGACGTCACGTGGAGGCGAGACGCTTCCACACGCTTGTCAATCAGCTTGGAATCGCGCTGCCGGCTTCGGAGACGCGTTAATTGACGCTTTTTTCGAGTCGCACGCGAGAGCGGCCGAAAGTTTCCCCCGCGGCTTGAAAGTTTCGTTAATCAATCGAACGCGCCTCGCCAAGTGTACGTATGTGTGCGCGAGTTGTCCCGATAGGAGGGATAGTTGCACGCGGCTGAATTTACGCGAGCTCCTTCCTCCTCGTCGCTTAGTTTTCTCCGCATTCGCGAGCTCATCGATTCGCGCCACCGGCGATCGCTGGCTGGAAATCGCAGGCTGAATTCTAATCGCGAATGATCGATGATGTATCTCTCTTTCTCTGTCGAGTCTCTCATTTCGTAATTTGCGTGCATAATTACTCGCGGCGTGAATTAAACATCGCGCCTTGTGTATTGCCGGGAAAAAAGTAATTTATATTTCAGACATTCTCGCGCGCTGATGAACGCAGGAGGCGTTTTATCGATTTTGCAAACTCGTGACTACGCGACGACTCCGCAGCGATAATTAAGAGAGAGAAAGAGAGAAGGAGAGAGAGTGGCCGTACGAAAAATTGTCCTCGTTATTTTCTACCGGCGTAGAACAGAAATTGTCACGGAGATTCAACGCGAGCTCGTCGATGCGTATTATTACGACCGTCCTCTCTCTCTCTCTCTCTCTTTCTTTCTGCTCGTCTCCTCAGTGCCTTTGCCCGTCGCTCTTCCAGTTTTTTCCACGAGCTTCCTCTTTTTGCCGCTTTTAATTGCGCTTCCTGTCTATCCTCCCTGCCATTACTACCGGATTCCCCGTTCGTTCCCAATTTCGCGACACCGTTTCTTCGTAAACACGCCAGCACGCGCGGTGATCGTTCACTCTGGCAAATTAAAAAAACATTCAATCCCCCGAGAGAACGTTGCATCGCGGCGGATCGAAAGTAGTTCATCGATAGTTTGCGCAAATATTTCGGACGAAAACGATCTCAGCGTATCACAGGCGTTCAATTCAAATCTCGCGAAATTTTACGGCTGAAATGACGCTTAATTATCTCAAAGAATTCTACCTAACTTTTCGTCTCAGTTTTCAACGAATATTTTTCAACTACACGAACGTGTAGTTGAAACATTTTCAATTAAAATAAAGCTTCCCCTATCCGAGAAGAATCTTTCGAGCCCACGCGGAAAAGAAATTTTAGTCCTATCTTATAAACCAAGAATAGATATTCTCATATACAAGGATATCGTAATCTTCTTAGGAAACTTTTAATCATGATTTGATTGAATTTATATCGATGCAAGTACTACTTCAATTCAATTCAAGGCTAAGAATCTTCTAAGAAGATGATAATATTCTTGCTTGTATATGAGAACACTTATTCTTGACTTAGGACTAATGTTTTTTTTTTCCGTGCGTCGTGGCACCCGAGTCCTTGGGAAAGTTGATATCCACTTGCGCTAATGACCCATCGCCGGTGAGTCTACAAATTGAAACCGCAAAGTGTAACGAACGAAACTTGCGCCGGTTACCTCGTACGTGGCGCTACGCGAAGCATTACTATCCAACGGATATATATAAAGATCTCGACGTTTCCCCACGACACGCGTATGCGTGCGTAGGCCCTTTTATTTCCGTGTTTTGAATCATTGACGACCCGGCCATACGTATCTTGACGCAAACTCGGTATAAGTCACCCTGTCCGGTGGCTATAGCGCCGTAAGTCATCAGGTGCGACATTTGCGTCGTCGAGCACGCGCGTTGGAAATAGATATCGAGTGATCTCGATTTAGATCGGGTAACGATTGCCGTCGAACGGACTGTGTTTCTATGATAAAGGGCGCCGGCAACCTGAGCGCTGAAATTGCGCCCCATATTTAGAAATCGAGTCGCGAAATACCACGAGGCTCCTTCATGTTTCCCCGTTTATCTGGTCGCACGAAACCATGATTTTCTCTGCCCCTACCCGTATCCGCTCGCAAAAATATCGCTCACGCAGAGCAGCGCGTAATCCGGCCAATTCGGAAGAGCCCATCCGACGTTGTATACGACGTGATAACGGCGAGTGTACACGTGTAATCGACGGCCGCCGCCGCCGCTAACGGCCGCGCCGGAATATATCGCGGCCGGTATCTTTTATATCTGCGGTTAATCGACCTTCGAGAGAGCAAAGCGACAAAGCGTGCAGCTCTATCCATTACATTCATCCCCCGGCTGAGCCGTGACTTCGTATTAACCCATAAAACTATCGCGTCTCCCGCCAGGCACCCGCTGGTATCACCGGCGCACCCCTAATCTCAGCATCTGCTAATCGAATCTATCAGAATCGTGCCGACCGCCGATTTCTCGCCCCGCCCCCGCGAATCTCGTGACGGCCAACGAGTTCCTGGTTAGAAGACCGGTGTGTATGTGTGTATGGGAACGGTCCTTCCGGTGTGTGCGGGGGCGAAACTCGCGGCTGTCGAAAGATATCTCACGTACGAGATCGTCGACGCCTGGCAGCCACGCGAGAGGTTAGCCCCCGATTAGCGATCCGATTCCCATTCCTCGCACGGAACCGCTCGAGGAATCACGAAATCACCGCTGCCAAGGGATACCACGAAGGCGGACGTGTATGAGAACGCGCGGGGGACGGCGCGTACCGCTCTTATCACGTAGGCGGTGTTAACACCTACCGTTCGGAGCGGGCAGAGGTAGGTGTTGGATACCCGGGGTATCAACGGTGCCGTCAGTCCCGCGTCGTATCTTCCGCCCGATAGGTCACAGTCGTCGTCGTTTGCTCTATGGTCGTTCACGTTGATCGCCCGCGAGGCCCCGCCGTTTCCCGATAGCGCCGGACCGCGTCTATCGCCGGCACGATAGATCGTTCCGAGTCATTTAAAGAGAGAATCATGGCCTTCTCGTGCGAGGGACGCGACCCCCTGGAGCACACCAGTCTTTACCAGCGCGCCGGTCAGACATTCTCGCTGTTCCACGCGTGTCGTAAAAAAAAGAAAAAAGGGAAAAGAGAGAATTCGCGAGGGAAAGTCCTCCGCGAGTCTTCTCGCTCTTACGATCGCGCACGCTCGATTTTTTCACGAGTAGCGATAGAATGATACTCGTCCACCACCTTGTCCACGTTCTCTATTCTCTCGTTCGACGTTCGATATTTCGTCGCACCACCCGGGATTATATTTATTTGCCCGTTTAATCGCATCGTCGGCGCGCTGTTTTGCAGAGAGCGAAGACAGCGATGCCGAGGGCGGCCTGGGCAATGTGAACAAGATGGTGATGCGACCGCCGGGCCACAGCGGCAAAGCCAAGAAGGGCCATATCTGCTTCGACGCGACCTTCGAGACGGGAAATCTCGGCCGGGTGGATTTGATCTCTGAGTTCGAGTACGATCTCTTCATCAGGCCCGACACCTGCGGCCCCCGGCTGCGCATGTGGTTCAACTTCACCGTGGACAACGTTAAGGCGGATCAGCGGGTGATATTCAACATCGTGAATATCTCGAAGAGCGCGAACCTCTTCCGGCAAGGAATGACGCCGCTGGTGAAGAGCAGCAGCAGACCGAAGTGGCAGCGGATACCGCGAGAGCAGGTGAGAACTTTCTTTTGAAGAGCGTCGAGATAATTACGACGACGTTTCGGTGTTCACGTTTCTTTAAAGTAGTTGTGACGCAGAATGCCGTATTTTTAACGGCACATCAAGGGGATCGTTCATAAATCTAGTATTTATCAAGCAAAATCACGCTTCTATACATTTATTTCACTACCTAAATAATAAATGTTGATTTGAAACATAATATTACAAATACGAAAATATTACTATTTTTTATTTTTCTTATTAATGCTATTTTTATGCATTAGATTTTCTAATAGAGATGCACAGATAACAAAAAGAGGCACATAGGTAATTAACCCTTTGCACTCCGCTGTCGCCGTAGCGGCGACATGGTTGTTTTGCTGCCTCGGCACTTTAAGAAATTTTAAGTCCTAAAATTTATGTTTTTCTTTTATAATATAAGTTAGAATATGTTTTGTTATAAAATAGCTAAGAAATAAAAATTTTGTTTTATTGAAACGACTCTATTTTTCTTCTACATCATAGGTATGTACTTGGAACTAATAGCCTCTATGCATTACTAGGCTGGAGTGCAAAGGGTTAAATATGTATATGTATTTCGAGAATTCGAGACGTTATGACGTATTTTAGTTTTAATAAGATCCTTTATAATATTATGTGACGTAATTAGAAAAACGTCAATTTTAATCAACTGTCTGATTGATTATGCGAATCAAATTCCTAAATCCGTCGCGCGATTGGCACAGAAATGCCCCGATATTTACGTCAGCGATTGCAATCTCGAGAAATTGTGTCAGAACGCGAATTTCCGATATCCAATTACTCCATCGGTTACTATCGGCAGTCTTCTAAATTAGAATTATCGGCGCCGCGAATCGCGACTGACGATTATCGTCGCTGCTTGCGCGGCCGATTGTCGTCGTAAATTCAGCCAATCATCGACTAAAGCGTAATCCTCAGGAGAATATATTATTTATTACTATCCGTAGAAATTCGAAAATTTTCACGCTCGTTTGCGCGCTCACTGTACACGTCATTAAAAAAAAAAAAAAAATGAAACTCGAGAATCATCCGATTAAGACACGCTAACACGATTTACTCCCGGAGATTTGCAGGTATTCTACTACAGATCGGCGCAACATCAGAATCACTACGTGCTGAGCTGCGCGTTCGCGTTCGACCGCGAGGACGACGTCTATCAGTTCGCGCTGACTTATCCGTACTCGTACACCCGCTACTTGGGACACTTAGACAATCTTTGCGGCAGACCGCTATACACGAAGCGGGAAACGCTGGCCGAGTCGATCCAGAAGAGGAATGTAGAGCTCGTAACTATAACCTCCGACCTCGAAGACACGGAGCGACCTAGAAAAGTGGTCGTTGTCCTCGCTAGAGTTCACCCGGGCGAGTCGCCGTCTTCCTTCGTGTGTCAGGGCTTGATGGATTTCTTGGTCAGCGCGCATCCTATAGCTCAGGTACTCCGGGAGTATGTGATCTTTAAGATAGTGCCGATGCTCAACCCGGATGGCGTCTTTCTCGGGAATTACAGGTGAGGATGTCTCTCTCTCTCTCTCTCTCTCTCTCTTTCTCAAGGTAGCCAAAGACGCTGGCAAATTCGCGGACAACTTTCGCCTTGAAAATTGTTCATATACGTAAAAGTTTACTTACCTGTCGATTTTAAGACTTTTATATAATTATGTACATTTTTAATAATTCTGTGCATATATATACATATATATGTATTTTTTCATCGGTATATTATTTTTTTCATCCGTAGATAATTCTTATAATCGTCGAGTTCTAACCGCAATTTCTTTCAATAGGTCAACATATGAAAATTCTTCGTTTCATTATTCTCATATAGAAAAGCAATCGCTAACCCAATTAGTACTGTGTCTCATTTTCAGAATTATTACAAATATACATAGTTATATAAAACTCTTCAAACCGACAGGCAAGCTCGTCGGAAGTCTTTGTGTGTATAAACAACTTTTGAGTGACGCGTTATTTTCGCTCTAGTTGACGGGCGAAATTAAAAATCGATGAGGAACTTAACCTCGCGTCCGATTCACGCGATCAGGTCATCATTCGCGAAGAACGTATGATTATTCCGCGATAATTTCGAACGTAAAGATCCACGGTGATGGGCTTGGACCTGAACCGATCGTGGAACTGCATCTCCGAATGGATTCACCCCGCCCTGCTGGCTACGAGATCGCTGCTGAAATCTCTCGATAAAAACTCGCAAACACCCTTGGATTGTGTGTTGGACCTGCATGCGCATACCAACGCGACAGGTGTTTTCGTTTACGGGAGCACGTACGAGGATGTCTACAGGTAATCCTAACTCTTTTTCGGCCACGTAACGTTAAACGCCCGTTGACGCGTGAAAACGAGTCACGTCCCTTCAAGACGAAGGGAAAAGGAAAAGTCGCTGCCATGACCTTCGTAAACTAACCGTAAACCCACGTGTAATCCAACCTGACTGACGGCTGCCAGCCTCTCAGGTATGAGAGACACATTGTCCTGCCGAAATTGTTGGCTCAACACGCGGAGGACTACGAGCTGGGGAACACTATGTACAATCAGGACCATAACAAAGCCGGGACAGCGCGTCGTTATCTGTGCTCCATTCTGAAGGAGCACGTTAACTGCTACAGCATCGAGGTTTCTATGTATGGTTACAGCAAGAAGGGGATGCCCGGCATAATGCCGTATACGGAGGAAAGCTGTATCCTTCGCGCGAGCCACACGACAAGAGACACGTCGAAGCGATCGCGAATTAATGTAAATGCGAAATGTAGTCTTTCTTTCTATCTTCTAGTCGGGCCGTATTATCAATCTCAGTGGAAATTAAACCTCGCGGGTGTCCATCTACGAGGCAGTAAATTCGTGTCTAACGCCGCTACCAGCCAGTAACATAACGTTCACTTCTCCTAATGGCTTAACAACGTCTAGATAAATAAGTTAGCTAATGGTTAAACAAAAAGAAACTGCAGTTACCGAATGAAAAATCATAAGTAATCGCTAGGCAGTAACGTAATATTCATTTGTGCTTTTTTAAGATTTTTAATAATGGAACAATCGTATCCTCAATTTTTTTAATTTGCCACCTCATCTTTAAATGCTTGTGCCGGCTGCATTATAGCTAGATTATATATTTCTGAATAGACAGCGCCATCTGCTCTGTCATATTTTATATGCAATGGCTATAGACAACGGCTAAACCACAAAACCGAATCTATATGTTTTAATGAATAATCAGCCAGTAAGAAACTGGAATAACGAGCTAGAGAATTTAATCTACACTGTGAAAAAAGTTACTTAGAAATTTATTTCCGGGATATAAAGCTTTTATTTCACAGAAATCAACCTTACATCCCACAAGTAAATTTTTAAGTACTTTTTTCCCCAGTGTAGTCTGTACTAACTGGTTCCTACAGAAGAAAACATCGAAGTGCTAGAATTCAAGTAAATAATTACTCCAATACCCCTTGGCAAATTTTTACCTGTGATTTGCACGCGCATTTTATCGGCCGACGCTGAATTCGAGAGATTCAAGCCTTGACCATCAGACCCGATCGCAGATTACAGGCTGGGTCGTAATCTGGCTCGCGTCTTCATGGAGTATTACAAACTCACCGGGCTTATCCCGTCTGGGCTGCCGGATCAGCCGTCGAACAGGCGGACACGTCAATCCCGACAGAGACATCGTCTTCCAAGGGTGCCCCGACCGAGAACAGTCAGGACTCCGGCGACTTTGCACCTCGCCAGCATTTACGAGTAATTATCTCGAACCTTCTCACGCGTAAATATGATATCGGTCGCTCACCTCGCAGAGTTATCGCTATAATCATGATTCCTGATCACAGCAGGAACGAAAGAAGAACTTCGTTTGCTCGAATATCAAATATTTCATCAACGCGTTTTATCAGAGTCTCTCCTGTCGCGGAGAAGGGATGAAATTCGCCGGTCCGAAGAAGAGCGATAACTCTCCGGAGGAGGGCTTTCCGGGCGGGAGGTTCCTCGCGGTTAAATCGCGACCAGCCGAGAGATGTGCGAGAAGGGGTGGAAAATGCAGCGCACGCCCGTACGTTTAGCTCGCACCCGAAATAGACCGTTCGCTCGCGCTGCACGTTATTTGTCGGCGTAACTACAGTCGTTACTACAGTCGGCTAATCTCGGGCCGAATCGTCAGGTACTTCCGGGAGGAGGCTGCTGAGCCGCTCCCGAGCGCGCGTTACCGATCGATGAGCGGCACGCGGATGGGCCAACCCGGAACCGGAATCGCGAGTGAAACTGGAGCGACGGGCGTCGGCGGGTGCAGGAGCCGGAGCTACAGGTTCCGGAGTCCCGGGGCACCGCTCGACAGGGTGCAAGCCCTGACGACGGGACGACCCGCCGCCACCGTCGCCACCGAGCCACGGCTCACCATTATCGATTTCAATCAGCTGACGCGGGGCGGTTTGGAGCTCGCGACCAGCAGGAACAGAGCGACGGTACCTCGCAGGAACGTCAAGTCGCGCAGATAACGATCATCCCGCCTCGGATTTCCTTCTCGACGCGGGGTTCCGCGCACAGACGTAACCCCGGAGGTCGGACCTCGCGCGGCCACGCGATATGCTGTCTCCGTTGCGCAACAAGACGGGGACGGGGGGGTTGCTTTCGGTGCTGCACCGGTGCTGCGCTCTTATCTATCGCGCTGGAGGAGCTTCCGCGAGATAAGAATATCGACGAGCGGCCGGTGGCGGAACGCGAATCAATCCTCACGTTTGGTCAAGGAAGTAACCGTCGCGTCGACCGACAACGGAGGGAGGGAACTCTTCTGAGGAGAAGAGAAAGAGATACGCTTCGGGGAGATTGTGGCGAACCGCGGACGCTAAATATGCGCGTTAGTGATAAGCTTTCGTGTTTTTGCCTTTCGCTGAGAATAACGTCGGCTCCAGGGATGTCGATGATAACGGGACACGCATTATTTTTCGCATTGTCGAACGTTGACTCTCTCTTCCTCTCTCTCTCTCTTTCACGCGAACGCATCTTGACGACCTTACGCTACCTTTGACACTTTACTCGTGACAATAAATGATTTCCCCGGTTCCCATAGCTTATATAAAGCGACACGATATCGCATATCTTGCTGTATATTACGTACATTTTCATGATATTCTTGTTACATTTCTCATAGTCGTTTATGATACCGTTGCAAGAGATGATAGCTACGTTACGCTATTACTTCTACGTTAAGATATAAATATGTTAACAGTGGTAAAATAAATGTATTATCAAATGAAACATGGACAAATATTAATACACATGCTTTCACATTATCACAATACCCGTTCCCGAATCGCAGCTGGAGCTTCATGCGTAGTTGCTTTGTGAAACTCGCATGAACCGAGATATACAGTTGCCACTCGATTGTTGTTAACTTTGGAAATTATGGAAAAATCATGGAAAAAACATCACAATTTTTCAATGTCGCTTCGCGTCATTAGCCGATAGTTTAGCGCGTGTTTCGAAACGAAGATGCGGAAAGAAATATCTGACTAAAGATTCGCCAATTTAGAAATTTCTCCGATCAATATTACTGCAATAAATTAACCCCTTGCCCTCTACAGTATGGCGGCGCCGTCCAAAATTTCTTATAAACCTTGAAATCAATGCCGTGGCCGCGCTTTTCTGATTGTGAAATAAGCGGAAACTGATTTAGGTTTAGATTTCAAAGCCGAAAAACGCCGTCGCGGCGTGTTCAGGGTTTCACAAGAAATCTTGAATGGCACCCTAAGAGCACACAGGGTCAACATCGGGTTAATCGTCGTGTGAAACGATCAGGTAGCGCAGCAATGTGCGCGAAACCGCTTAGTTTCCCGAACGAAACGCCCCTCGTGCTGGATTTTCGTCAAACATACACCATAGGAGGTAATCATCGCGTGGCGAACCGACAACGCAGGTGCTTTTCGGGAACGGGATCCCGGCATTTCAGCCGGCACTTTATCGATATAACATGTTTGCACGTACCTGAGAAGGCGACAATTACGTTTCCTAAAACTCAACGAACCCGCGCTCGATGCACGCGCGCATTGAATGGACAGAAGACGCAGGTACTACGCGACGGCCCGATACACCTGGCCAGGTACGGACCTAAGGATACTTGGATACTGGGCTCGGGTGTGTCCGTGCATTTAACGTGCGACGACGACGGCGATAACGACGACGACGACGACGGGAAAGCCGGTATACTAATCGTGCTTGCGAATTTTTTTTTTCAACCACGAACAACGAACAAACGAATTTACCGTGTGCGTGTACCGTACATACGTCGCTGTACGTGTGTGCGTATTTATGTATACACCGGGATATAAGTGTTTTCCCTAGTGTTTATGTATGTGTGTATGTGTGTACATATGTGTGAATATGATCGTGGAGACGACGTTGTGCGTGAGAGCATCGGTCGGTGTCCCTACGTGACGACGGTGTGTATGTATGATGAANTGTGTGTGTGTGTGTGTGTGTGTGTGTGTGTGTGTGTGTGTGTGTGTGTGTGTGTGTGTGTGTGTGTGTGTGTGTGTGTGTGTGTGTGTGTGTGTGTGTGTGTGTGTGTGTGTGTGTGTGTGTGTGTGTGTGTGTGCGTGCGCGCGCGTGCGTGCGTGCGTGTGTGTGTGCGCGTATGTATTATGCGGTTTCGTGTGTACGTGTGCGTGTACGTGTGCCGATACTGCGGTTATATATTATACGTGTACATGTCAATCAATCGGAACTGAAGAGGAACTAAAACGGAAAGAAATGAAACTATAGCGAAAGAAGGGAGCAGACAAGCGGCCAGTAGCTCTTCTACCCCTGAGCTCGAGACGGAACTGGCCCGTGGGCCGCTCCGGCTGCCTGGCGAGACCCCCGGCGTACCCCTCGATCCCGCCACCCACCACCAGCTCACCCCCGCCAACACCGTTCTCCCTCGCCCACCTTCCACCATCGTCCCGTCGATGGCACTCTCCGTCGCGCCCCCGTTGTCGGGAGTCGCGCATCCCCTTCGAACCGGGTACTTCGGGGTTGGACGAGAGCAGGGCGGTGGTCGTTGAACCAGGTATATAGCCGGCTGCCGTCTGCGTCGTGCGGGTTGCGCAGTGGCAAAACCGCCCTTACACAACACACACGCATACACGTACGCCGCTCACCACCCCCGTCCTCATCCCTCGCCCATCCCGCGGGGTTACAACCCCCGCGTGCACCCTGTCGCCGCAGCGCAGCTCTCGGACGGTTCCCCAGGAGAAGCGACTAACCTCCGCGAACCCAGCCATGGCGCGGAGAGGACGAGGGGTCGGGATCGTTGTCGGGCGAGGGTGGTAGGAGGAGGAGGGGGGTGGTGGACAGCGAGGGGGATGGATCTGTGCAGCGGAGTCGACGTGTACGCGCGCCAGTGGATTAATATCGCTGGATTCTCGCCGGGGCCCGAAATGATTTAATTCCGGACTTTAATCCGAGCTTTTATCCGCGCCTCGATATCAGATTATATACATCGTCGGGCCTTTTTCACCTCGCCCTTCCTTTCATCCGCCGCGGGAACCGCGCCAAGAACGCCGGCGATCGAGCCTCCTCTACCCCCACCCTCCTCCGCCTCTTTCGAATTGCTTTCTTTCTTCTCGTAAAGAATCGGGTGTTTTATCGTGCTCGCGAGAGAAGAAACTTTATATCGAAGTTCTGTTGATTATTCACGCCTCCCTCCCCGTCGTCGTTATGTCTTACATATATTTTTTTTACAAATTGAATTTAAAATATGATAAATAATGGCATGCGGAGGCATTTTATAGTTGTGGTAAATATTTTAAATAGAGATGGAAAAGAACGTGTAAGAGGATCTCTAGTAGCGAGAAATAATAGTGAAGAACATATAACGTGAAGGATTAAAATACACTATAAAACATCCAAGAGAGAAGCTAGAAAAAGAAGAATGAGGACGTATCTTGAACGCCCGTGCAGTCTGACAAATGAGAAATTCCGTTGATTTATTATATTTTCTTAGCTAACATACATGTTGAGAATGCCAAGCCCTCGTAAAAGCGCAACGTACAATTTCTTTCGCTTAAAAACATATGGTTTCAATTGTGTACTTTCCCAAGTGACTCGAAACGTGTTCAGGTGAATATTAGAAGTCGCTTCAGAGACGACCGAAAAAGACGTACAATATTCTAAAACATTGTTTTTCGGGCAAGACTACGCCGAGACAAATCATCAATCTTCTAGCTTTGTCCCCTTTACAAACGCCGTAAAATCAGCTTCGGGCCAATTGATTTTATGTTCTTTTTAGTTTGGTTCTAATCTTTTTTCTATACTTAACCATTACTGTTTTTATGACACGAAAAACAGCCACAAAAAACGCCAGCAATTTCCAATGTCCCTTTTCCATTTCATTATTCTTTTCTCATCCCAAATAGAGAGAAACATGTTTTTGTCAAGAGATATTGCTATTTCTGGTGAGAAGAGAATAATGAAAAGAAAAATCAGTCGTACCGTGTGAAAAGAAAGAGATCTACTCACTTGGCTCATCGATAATTGGCATTTCCCGACGGCCGGTGGATCTTCGCGCCGACTTGTCTTCATAAACGATCTTCTGCTGTTCTGAGAAATGCACTTTCGCCAACGTGGATACTCCGCTACACTTCGGCGGATTCACGATCGAACCTGCTACGAAGAAATAAATTGCATTACGGAATTTCGTTCGGAACTTCCCCCCTCCCCCTCCCGAATCATCCATTTTGAATCTCAAGCCCGATACGCCGATACAGCTACGGCTGCATTCCGATATTCACTGCCAGTACCGAAAATCTATAATTCATGTTACGTACACTATAGATTTTCAGTACTGGCAGTGAATATCGGCCGGGAATATGTTACCTGTGCGACCGACGCGAAGAAGAATAACCTCTCGACGCTGCGATGTGCAGCCGTTCAAAAATTCGACCATTCAAAATGCCTCACGTCTCGCGAACCGATCCTCTCATGTGACACGAGATCGGTCGGCTATCGCGACGCGATCTCGTAATTCGAGGCGTAATTACACGGAGACATTGTAACGGACGCGTCCGAAAATTTCGAGCCGAGAACACCGAGGCGGGAAAGTTCGCGAGGAACTGAAGTAGCGGAAGTAGCGTCGCTAGACGTTATTAAACGTGAAGTTGCATCGCTCGAAAAGTATCGCGGTGCAATTCAGACGTCAAGACACTTGTGACGCCTGCAGTGTGACAAGTACTTAAGACGGAACAGTTTACAACAGTAGAACGTATAAGAGAGACCACGCACATTTGTAATTTGCGAAATATTATTTATAATATATTCTCTGTATAAAAATATCCCCTTCTTCGACCGATTTAATCCGGATATCGCGTTTAACCTTTATCGTCCTTCTTATTTTCGGAGTGTGAGATTTGAAAGAAGTACTTAAAATGGAAACGTAACGACGGAAATTAAACTAGAAAAGCACAATCTAGCTCGGGACGGTTTTCGACTTGACAAAATTTTCCGTCCGATTCAAAACTATTGTTCGAATATCTCTTAAGTATCAGTCCGATAGTGTCATATTTTTTAGGGAAGGGTCGAGAGAAAGTTTTCGAGAAATTAATAGTCGTATACCTGCAAAGGACTAATATTTAAGTATATACCATAAATCAACTACATATAAGCCGAACAATATGCCCCACACAGCTTGGGTAGATGCGAAAGTGTTACCAAGACAAGGAATATAGAATGCTCGTGGGCGTTACAGTTTCTTCCTAGAGAATGCAGAGTTTTCATTGGCTCCGCGTTATCTCAAAATAACGGCGAGTCAATGAATCTTTTATGGTTTGGCTTCACGGGATTTTTTGCGTTTCTCATCAGGAGAAATCCTATAAAGGGAAGATCTCTTCCATTCATTCGTTTATTCTTCAGTTTCTTCGTGACGCGTTTGCAACAAGCTTGCCTTCTCGAAGTCCAGAAGCAATCTAAAATCTCGAGTCTCGTTTCGCAGTATTCGTCGCGACACGAAGCTTCGTTCACGATTATTCACTTGACTACCAGACGCATTTATAAAAAACGGTGTACGTAGTGTATTACATATGCACTTTGTTCGAGCGAATCAGCAAGTGGAAATTCCAAAGTGCGTTTGAATATTCGGTCGCAAACTAGGAACTTTGCGTCTAGTTACGTCCGGTGCGACACGCGTTCGAGACACCGACGTTTCGTCCATTCACCCGGCATCTCGTTCAACTTTTCACCCACTTCTTCGTTAAGTCGAGGCGTTCTTCATTAAGAGAGCTGCGTAAATTAAACGGGACTGTGAATACACACTCGACGACGTGAAAGCTTTTCCCCGTGATTCGTTCGGTTACGTCCTAGTGTATTACGGGGCGAGTCCGTTCGCGAGTGTTCATTGGCTACCAGAGGGAGCAGCACGTGCGATAAGAAGAAGCGGGCCGCGTATCACTGTGTTGATACTGTGACTCCACGGCCGAGATGGTAAGTGGAAGTTTGGAAGTTTCAGTATTAGTAGCTCGCCATGTTTTTCACTAAGAGGGGTGTGTAGAAGAGGCCGGGGTGAGAATCATCTCTCGAGGCATGCAGGTAGGTCAGAAAGTGGCCTGGATTCATCGTTATCGCGGCACGACACTCGCGCACGCTGTCGCGCGCGTCTACCTCGTCGTGAGCCGCGCGCGCTAACGAACGTCTCGCGGTTCGCGCGTTTCGTAACGTCACGCACGGGGCTCTCGTTCCGGGCAGAGCTATGACTCAGGCGAAACATTATATAGCGCAATCGGCAAGGTTATTTGCATTGCCCGTTCGGGAGGTGCTCTCTTATTGCCCGCCAACAATCGCCAAGAGTAGCGCGAGGCACGCGTCGCGGACACCACGCGTGCCAGAGTACACACACGCATACACACGCCTAAAAGAGAGAGAGTGAGAGAGAGAGAAGGAAAATTCTCGGCGGCCGCCTCGCGGATCTCGCGCGTCACGTTACGTCGCGTCGTACGCATCGTGTGTTCTCCCGTGTGGCGTCGCACAGCCTTTTTCGTCGATGCGAGATAATGCGGAAGGAGATTACGCGTTCTCTCCTATCTGTAGATAATGACGTCTCTTTGACAGCGATCGCAACGGTCTCTGGCACGCGTGCCGCCACCAACGTGCGTCTCTGTTTGCACGCACATTGCGCACCGCGTGTGACTGCTACTTGGCCTCGGTACGTTTGTCAGCCTCCTGCGTGTCGTGACATCACAATTTCATCATCCTGTATGGTCATGTTATCGTCGAGACGACTGCTAACGTCTCTCGCATTCTGCTGACAGCTTTTGGTGATCGTCTCAAAGAGATGTCAAGTATATGTCGCGTAATAAAATCATGCTCCCAAGTAATCGCGTTGCTTTGGAACGTAGAGAATCCGCGCAGTGACGTCGGTAAAGATCTAATTTCGAAGTGTATGAGCGACTCTGTACAAGCGAGCTTGGAAACACCCACGAATCTGTGCCCAGTTTTTGACTCTCAGTAGTTTGGTTCTTTCGATCGCGAACGGGCTCTCAAACGATGGAACGAAGCTCTTTTTATGAAAGATCTAACATGTAGAAGCGAGTCGTGACGAGGAAAATGTCCCGAGTCCTTTTCTGTTTTGTTTACATTTCGGAGAAAACACTTGAATTCCGTGTAAATGTTGAAAAAACACAAAATGTAAACAAGATGAGGCTTTCCTTCCAACCGGAACGTTTATTCAAACTGTTTTCTGTTAACTTACAGTGTCAAAATGGGAAGGAAACTATACTTGTTATCCTTCACTAGACCTGCCAGCCTCACTCTAATAATACATCCACCACCCATGTACAAGAATTAAATAATTTTTAAACAACGTAACTGAAACTCTAAGAAACATTAATACCGTTCCCGGGCAATTAAGTAACTGCAAAACGCAAAATAATAAAAAAGATTTCAAATAAGAATTGAAAAGAAACACTTGACGAGCCCGAGCGTTATGGTGGTGGATTCAGTTAAATTGAAACATTAAAGGACAATAATAAAATACCGTATTACCTTACTGTATATAGGTGAGTCCACACTATGTTCGTATAAGCGACCTTGTCCCCTTTATCTAATCTTAACCCTTGCAACACACATATTACATTGTGTGATAATCTTATTTGTAATTCCATAGGAGAGATGATCACCCGAGGGGTAGTGGAGTTTGTTAGAGTTTCTGGGTCTAGGGGAATATTCCGTAAGAGGGAATGAGGAGCCCGAGAGAACATCTGGTTGGGATAGCTACGTCCCCTCAAGGGCGTGAATTCTTCAGCTTAAGGGCCGAGGATGAGTTGCGCATGTGGCTTTATGTAGAGCTGTGTATATTGGGAGTAAACGTGTCCAGATACCTGGAGTTTTTAATCTCTCTATTGCGCTACCCCATCTCGGCCCTAAGTACTGTGCAAGGGATCGTTGGAGTAGACACATACACAGGACAACACCTCTTTGCCTCATCCATAGAAGAGCTGGAGACACTTGGTGACTGTATGCGAGCCGAACGACGAGCTATTGCCCTGGGATGTCTGATAGGTGCTAGCAGTTTCGATGTAAGTTTTAACGTGACGTTTTAATGTAAATGCAATCTCTAGGCTGTAATATAACCCTCGCAAATGCCAATCCAATTGGTCTCGAGAATTCCGACTACTTCACATACGCTAATTCAATTGGCAGTACTAAAACAAAATTGTGCTAAATTCCAATAAAATTCCAGACTATAATCGACTGTGATAAAGAATTTCCTTTCGTTTAGTTCGACAGTATCGTTTTGTCCGTATTGTAACTACGAGATTTTAGCTCCAAGTTGAAAACTAAAGGAGAATATTTAATTTTAATTCGAAATATCTTCTCTGTCTCTGCGTACCCAGGCAAACTTGTCAGGAATAATGATGCTGGTTGATGAAGTGATGACGAGGCTAGACAAAGTGGACGGCAGGAACGTGAATCTTATGGAAGAAGAATTTAAAGTGCCCAACGAAGAATTTCACGCACCCGCAACGAATATAGAAGCATCCATGCCTGCTGGTAGCGCTTACGGAACTCAAGAAGAATTCACAGTCTCATTGCAACCTGTACTGATCGAAGAGATCTCTCGGTGGACGGAAAGGAATATTGGCACGACATATTGCAACAACACAATAAACTCATATAATAACAAGAATAACGATGCCTGCAATAAAAATAATAATGTGTCCATTGTAAGTAACGTTGAGTCCCAACAGCCGGACAGTAAAAACAGCTTTGGGTTTGTTGAGTCGATGGAACGGCAAAGAGAGAAGGATCGACTGCAACTTGAAATTGAACGTTTACAGTTGGCACGATTGCAAGCAAAGTTTAATGAGGATGTTGAGGCAATATGGAATGTCGGAATACATAGCGCGCAGGAAGAACAGCAGGACTGCAATCTCCTGCAGGACAGGATAATCCCTCCTGCTCCCGCAATATTCCCGAATTCACAGCCGATCTTCACGATACCAAATGGTTCTCCTATGAGCGTCTATTCATCTGGCTCGAAAAATGGGAAAATCATTGATATAGATTCACTATATCCAGGATCTCGCCTTGAAGCGCCTATCAGTGATGTACAGAATGGCGAGCTAATCAACGTCCAGGATCAGGTGGAAAACAACTTTAATTATAACGCAGGTTAGATATATATTTCATAATACATACATAGATAAAATTTCGTCAGGATTTTATATCTTCCGTTTATTGGCCGGTCGTTCTCTTCCCCTCTCTTTCATTCTCACGAACGACCTTCCTCTCTCTTTTTCTTACTCTCTGCAGAATGGACATTCATTCGTTTGTTCTGCCTCTCTAATATGTGTCTGTTATTTACAGGATATAATACCACCAAAGATACAAGAAATTGGCCGGACTTGATTAGCAATGATCTGTGGCGCAGGAAAGGAATTGAGGATAACTGGGTATATTTGACTCAAAATATACAAGCGGTTGGTTCCTTTCCAATAGCATCTTGTAAGCCTCCTCATGGAAGTCATGTGGAATCCCCTTCGATTCTGAAGCTGAGTAGCCTTCCAGAACCAGATGAGGATCTGTTGACTTCCGCACGAACACATTTTCGTCCGATAAAGGACGATGGTTACTGGGCAGACGGAACTACATTCCCCGTCAATACTGCTGTAGAACAAGTCGCCTACCGCAGGTCTGAGTCAGGGAACGTATGGTACCTTCCTGGCGGAGAGAGCCCTTATATGGAGTATCGTGAGAATGACACAGCCAGCCCCGTCGTGTCAACGATATCTTCCAATTTAACTCCGAAATTCAGGGTACGCCAGTGCGACAAGAGCATCCAAACAGACCCTGTACGATTTGCGGTCAGGCGTAGACTCATCTTCGACGATGATTGTTATGATAGTACCCCACTTAGAGGTGAAGATACTGTCATAAACAAGGACGAAGAAGAAGTAGTTATTGAAGGGGGAAAAATAATCACGGCTCAGTATCCAACAAATAAACAGGTTACACAAAACAAAGATACAATAGCAATAGATAACAAGAAAACAAGCCAAACTGACGAGCCGGAAATAGAACAGAATGGACATCCACATCATAATGGAAATAGAAAGAAATTGGAAGGTGAAGGTGTGGACGATGAGAAAGGCTGCGATGAAGATGAGAACGAAGGGGAAGTGGAGCATGAGGTGAACAAGAACGAAAGCGCCCAGAGTGATAGAAAGAAAAAGGATCGCGAAAAGTGCCACGAACAGGATAAAAAAGAAGCAAAAAATAAAAATGAACATGGGCACGATAATAATGATCACGATCAGGTTGACAATGATGACGACGACAAATACAATACAAGTAAAGAACATGACGATAACAAGAACGATAATAATGAAATAGATAATGATGATGATGATGACGGTGATGAAAACGAAAACGACGATGAAGACGACGACGACGATGATGATGATAGTGATGTTGATGGCGATGATGATAATGATGATAATAATAATGATGATGATGGGGATGATGATGATAATGACGATGATGGCGACGACGAAGACGACGATGACGACGATGACGATTATGAAGACGAGAATGATGAAGAAAGACAAGTAGAGAATGGAGAAAAAAAGTGTGAAGAGAATAGAAAGGAAGATGAGGATGAGGACGAGGATGAAGAGGAAAGTGATGATGATGACACTACAGTTGTGTTTCGTAATGAGGAAGAGAAACGGAAGTATATTTTAGATAGAATGTACCGGGCAGCAGTCAAGATCAATCTGGCAGATGATAGAGAATGGTAAGAAACGTTGTAAACACGTATATACTTACGTATATACTACTTTGTAAATGCGTTATTTGCATAATAATCATAAAACCGCACGTTGTAATTAGAAATTCGTTGATGCGAAAATTTTCATTTTATTACATTGATTGTGATTGTACGCTTAACATTTCCATGCATTTCCATCTCGACAGGAAGAACTGTATGAACAAGGTGAGGGAAAAGCTGTTGAAGAAGATTGGCACTGACATATTTGTGACGATGCCGGAACGAATAATGTAAGCTGGGGAAATAAACTACGTGACTGAAGATTTGAAGTTTAGGTATACTTGTTTTTATTGCAAAACGAAGATACAAACGATAGGAGCGTGAATGGGGGTCCTCTTGGCATGTGGAATTTGTTATGCATGTATCCAAGAAGACACGAATAAACCCCATCGTCACTCGTAATAAGCAACACGCGATATCGAAATAAAGTGAGACGCGTGACTATTCAATATTCATTTAGATAAATGAACATTAATCCTTTGACGAGTAAGGAGGAAAGAAACGAAATATGAAAAAAAAAGGAAAAAAAAGTGTACACCTTACACAGCGTTTCACGTCGAGAAAACGTCGAAGAACGTAGTCCACGTGATTTCAGTTGTAGGTTGTTGATTACTTTTATGTGATTTACAAGGAAACTTAGTGCGCTGATTTTTCGTAGAAAAAATCGTAGGGAGCAATTTCGTTTCTCGTCCGACGTGCCGCCTATAGTATTGGACGTTTTGCGCATCGAAATTAAATAAGAAAAACGAACGCGCGAAAGTTAGGAATTACAGACAGTTTTGAGTACTTATTTGAATGCTGCATATGATTGCAACTCGGGTATTTCATTCGAGCGCTGTTTTTCTTTTCTTGTCGTTTTTCTTAATTAATAATGAATTATCTTAATTGTATTTTTCTAATTATAATTTAACTCCCTAGAAGATTAATCCCTCGACTATCCTCTTCCCTTATCCCGATGCTCCAAATCTCCCTGTATCCGATGCTTTTCCTGTGCTCCCCCCGAGACAGGATAATTGAGAACGTATGTATAAAAGAAAAAAAAATCGTGTAATTTGAGGACATGCTTACCCCGCGACGGGTACGCGAGAAGTGTTACTAGGTTGCAGATGCCGAGCGTACGTTCAAAACAAAAAGTGTTAACGCGTCGAAAGGATGCCATTCACGAATGGCTATACCTTCGGAGAATAATGCGAGAAAGAAAGAGACGCGACTGGCGAATTATGCGGATTGTACGGAGAAATCCAATAAAGGCACTGCAAATGTGAAGATCGTGTATATGCTTAAATTGTACCTTTCCAGTTCTCCCCTCCTGCAGTTATTTCTTCGTTCTTTGTGCACCCGAAAATCGAGGAAGCACCTTTACCGTTTCTCGTGATAAAATTATCCGATCAAATACGTGTGCGCGTAATTCTCGGTATAAAAGATACACAGATCGACCTGTCAGGACTTGGTACTTCGCAATGATCACTTTACCGTCGCGCTAACTGAGAAAAACATTCGTGAGTCTGTCTGGTCTCATTGGTGTAAACAGAAACCAGAAAAGGAAAAAAAAAAGAGACATCAATACGCCTGAAAACACATGTATTTCTTCGTGCAATAAACTCTACACAGTTATAATCTCTTGCTCTATGTTTCCACGCGAGCGATTCCCCGAACGGGTCCGAATGTAGAATCTAGAATCGCGATCTCTGCGAAGGTTGTACACCGTGCGTCGGGGCGGGGTGTAGATTGAGCCTGATCGGTTTCACCGCCTTCATGATCTTCGTCTTGGGCGAGGCGCTTTTCTGCAGATCGCTGACTTTCGACCGATGCCGGTAGTACCAATACTCGATCGCCAACGTGAAGCAAGCGAAGACGATGCCGACGAAGATGACGAGGAACACGCCGCCGATATTGTGGATACTGATGCCGTCGCTCTGATCATTCTCCAGGTCGCAGTTTTTCTTCTCGGGGTTGTACTTCCACCACTTGTCCTTCAACTTCTCCAGTCTCCTCTTGTTCAACAGTATGAGGATCCTGCGAGAGAAACAACGTGAGAATATCATCGCGAGCTCGCGAGAGTACACGAACGCTTCTGTCATACACGTACGCGTTGTTAAATTGATCCTTGAGCGCGGAGCCCTGCTGGACGGCGATAGCGTACGGCTTCCTCGAGAATTCCTCCCCCACTTGGGCCAGATCGCAGTTCGTCATGGAGAGATACTTGATGGTCGACGCGTCGCCGATATAAGCGAACTCGTTGTTCGCGTACGAGCCTTCGCGCCGAATTCGCTTGAGCGCATCGTTGATGTCGGCCGGGAAGCCGGCCTCCTTCATCGCCTGGAACATCTTCGTGTACTTGTCGCTAACCGGATAGTCCCACACGGCCAGTTTCGCTCTCTCCACGTCGGACAGGCTGTCGTTCAGGCTCATGTCTTTCCAGATTCTGCGCACGACAAATTGCACACGTTCCACTGATCAAGAATCTTCATTTGCACCGCGTCAAGCTGTTAAGGACGCCATTGCCCTTAATTCAAAATAAAGTGAGAAAATTTCGGAAAAATATTACAAATTGATCAGACCATTCGATTCCGAAAATACCGTGGCGCAAAGTTCGTAATAACGTGTAGTAATACTCAAAATATACCGGGTGTTTCTCAATTGTTCGCAACGAACGTGTTAGATAAAAATGGAAAATCCGGAGTGAACATGAGCTCGGGGAGGTGAAAGATCGGGTGAGTCACGCGTGTGCGTGACGCTGGTCGCGAACATGAAGTCACTCACTCGTAAAACCGCGCCTCGATGTCCGCCATCCTGCGGAAGTAGGTGAACGCCGGCGAGTTGAGCGTGGGAGCGTATTGTATCTTATACTGCTTGCTGAGATCCTCCAAGGTCTCGATCGGTATCTCCAGCCTGGAGACGGTGAGGAACGCGGCCAAGTTGGCCGTGTAAGACGCGATGATGATGAAGCCGAAGAGCCACCACGTGGCGGCCACCAATCTTCCCGACAGGTTCTTCGGCGCCTCGCCGCCGCCCTGCGGCGTCAACGAGGTCATGCAGAACCAGAAGCACTCGCGCAGGTTGAACTCCCTCTTCTCTTCGTCGTCCTTGTACTTCTCCCGGTTGTTCTGATAGCTGTACGGCGACCAACGGTCGAACACCCACATGAGGAAGCTGGTGAAGAAGTACGCGGCCAGTATGCACAGCCAGACCTCGTTCTCCAGCACGGTAAGGAACTTGAAGAGGGACGTCGACGTCTTCGTCTTCTGCATCATGATCGTCAGCCCGACCAGGTCGTAGTACGGTACGGTGAAGTCCACGACCTTCTCCCGCTCGGCCATCACCCAGAGCGAGCCGAGCGCTATGTCGGACCGCTTCTCGATCAGCTCGCGGATCATGCCGTTCCAGCTACCGTTCTCGCTCAACGCCCCGTAGCTCTGGTCCTCGGCCTCCCGTATCTCGTACTCGAACGGCACGGTCTCGCGGATCGCGTCCAGCAGGTCGATGCAGAAGCCGTACCACTGATTGGTCTCGTTGTTGTACATGACGAAGGGCGGGTGTTGCAAGGTTATCACCCGGTAACTCGTCACCGCGGTGTTGTTCATCATGCCTTCGTTGGTGACCTTCGCGCAAAACTCCGCTCTCGTGGGTGTTAGTGATGATGATGGTGGTGGTGATGGTGGTGGTAATAGCGTGGTGGTTGATTAACGATAACGCGACGCTCGAGGGTGGAAAGCGGGCTATCGAGCTGCAGGCGTGGAAGGGTGCGAAAAGCGAGCGGAACTAAATGCGCAAGTGATCGAGCGGACTTTCGTGACGCTTTCGCGCGATATAGCGAGCGAGCAAACAGAAGTGTACACGACCATCCGTCGTCACCTTGAACTTTTCCCAGGACAGATAAGCGAGCATCGTTAGAAAGAGGGACAGAGAGCGAGGGTGATGCGCGCGAAGATAACGAAAGAGGAGCTCGTGATCGAGGAATTATTTTTTTCACCACTTTCCATCGCACACCTTCGATGATCCTCGACGATGACGAACGTCGTGTTTATCGCGTGTTGATTGCGCTTCTCCCATTTGTTTATTCCGGTCTCAATGAATGGATGATAAAAATAGCTTTGCCGACGTTCGACACTTGTGGAACTCAAGAAGAATTCACAGTCTCATTGCAACCTGTATTGATCGAAGAGATCTCTCGGTGGACGGGAAGGAATATTGGCACGACATATTGCAACAACACAATAAACTCATATAATAACAAGAATAACGATGCCTGCAATAAAAATAATAATGTGTCCATTGTAAGTAACGTTGAGTCCCAACAGCCGGACAGTAAAAACAGCTTTGGGTTTGTTGAGTCGATGGAACGGCAAAGAGAGAAGGATCGACTGCAACTTGAAATTGAACGTTTACAGTTGGCACGATTGCAAGCAAAGTTTAATGAGGATGTTGAGGCAATATGGAATGTCGGAATACATAGCGCGCAGGAAGAACAGCAGGACTGCAATCTCCTGCAGGACAGGATAATCCCTCCTGCTCCCGCAATATTCCCGAATTCACAGCCGATCTTCACGATACCAAATGGTTCTTCCATGAGTTTCTGGATAAAAACACGGAAGAATCGTCGATATAGATTCAGCGTATCCAGGATATCACTTTGAAGCGCCTGCTAATAGAGAATGGCGAGCTAATCGACGTTCGAGATCAGGTGGAAGATATCTTCAAATATGATGCAGGATATGATACCACCAGAGATCCGAGATATTCGCCGAACTTGATTAGCAATGATCTATGGCGCAGAAAAGGGATCGTATATAACTGGGTAGATTTGATTCAAAGCATACAAGCGGTTGGTTCCTTTCCAATAGCATCTTGCACACCTCCTCATGAAAGTCATGTGGAATTCCCTTCGATTCTGAAACTGAGTAGCCTTTCAGAACCGGATGAGGATCTATTGACTTCTGCACGAACACATTTTCGTCCGATAACTGAGCAGACGGAACGTTCAATACTGCCGTAAAGTAGATTGCCTACCGCAGGTTTGAATCAGGGAACGTATGGTACCTTCCTGAGGAAAAACGCCCCTATATGGAGTATCGTGAGTATAACGTGGCCAGCCTGTCGTGTCTCCACTTCATCTTCCGATTTAATTTCGAAATTCAGGGTGCGCCAGTGCGACAAGAACGTCCAGACAGACCCTGTACGATTTGCGGTCAGGTATAACCTGTTCTTCGGCAATGATTGTCGTGAATGAGTGCTAAGCATAGAGGTGATGACACAGTCATAAGCGAAGATCTAGAAGAATATAGAGGAAGAAGCATTTAATGAAGATGGAGAAAGTAATCAAGGCTCAGTATTCAATAAACAAACAGGTTAATAACAGGTTAATAAATGAAACAAAGATACAATAGCAATAGATAACAAGAAAACAAGCCGAACTGACGATCAGAAACAGAACAGGACAATAGACATCCACAGTGTAATAGAAGAAGAAACTGGAGGAAGAGACTGGAAGAAGTGAAAGTGTGGATGATGAATAAGGTTACGATGAAAATGGAGATGAAGGGGAAGTGCTGCAGGAGAAGCGAAGATAGATAGCGAGGACGAAGAAGCAAAAGGAGGCGAAAGCAGGATTTACGTTCGCGGAATTACTATTGTTCTTTCTTTCATTGTATCTAATGACCCGTGTAACGATGACGAGTATTTCGTATTGCAACGTTCGCATCTCTCGCACGTTCGTGTGCTTTCATTAAAGCGCTCATTCTTCGAACGAAGCGTAAGTAATGCGCGGCCGGTGCAAATCTCGTTTTAAATTAATCTTCACCTCCTGCACCCTTCGTTATTCGCCAGGTCTTTGTTATTACGCGACCGCGACACAACGGTGAGCCTCCGAGTTCGCGAGCGAATAAATACTTAATGGACGCGCAAATAAGTAAGTTGCCGAAGTAGATCTCAACGTGATTTCAGTTCGATATTACGACGGACATAAATCCGTCTCTGCCCTTTCGAATTATACTTCGGGAAGGTATACGCTCGTGAAGAAAGGTAGTACATACAATATGGACGAAAGAAAAAAAAAATAAAGTAGAAAATATGAGCAATCGATCGCATAAATACCGCTCGGTCAGCTGCGACCGTCAGGCGTGATCAATAATTCTCGAATATACCACTTGAGGATTGAATGAAAAATCGACGAAGGCCGCGGGAGGACGCCGACGTGATATCCTTGACATTGGTCGAGGGGAAAAGCCGATCCGAGGATCGACTGTCGAATGAAATCCGGACTTTTCAGAAAACACGTCGTGACGAGAAGACGAAGAAACCACGAAGGTTGCACGAGCACGCGTATATATACAGAAGGGTGATCTGCGCGGATGGCGTCTAACTGATGCAGTGCCGCAATATCGGAAAACACACTCCGCGCTTCTCACTTCGACTTGCCTGCAAGGGTGACTCGATGCCCGCATGCCAGACCCCGCTCTCCACCTTGGACACGAGCTTCTCGCGCTCGATGTTTGTCATATACATGTTCATGGTGAACGTCGCGTGATGCTCGCCGTTCTTCGTGCCCCAAGTGATGCCAGCGTACGTCGGCGTCATGTCCTTCGAGATCGCCACGAGTTTCGAGAGCAGGTCCAAGCCCCTCGTAGGTCGATTCGTGCCATTGTAGCTGTCGCAATCGATATGATGCGGCTCCAACGGCCATTCACCGCTGTCCAGGGCCGACTTCATCGCCCTGACGCCCAACAAGGTGAGGTCGTAGTAGAAGGCGGAGCTGAGAAGCGGTCTCGGCAAGCTCGCCCTCGCCGCGAATTCCGCCTGATTCTTGTCGTCCGCGGCTGCCGGCGGCTGTGGCTTCAAGAACAGCACCGTGATGTTCTCGCATGAGCAGCTCGGCCACATCTCGTCGTCCAAGCTCAAGACGAACCAGCCGTACTTGCTGCCGGTGAAGCTCAACGACTCGCCGCTGTCCAACACCACATTGACGGAGTCGCCGTCGCCAAGCAGGAAGTAGTTCACCACGTCGAGATCCCGTAGTCCCATTAACTGAAGCCGCGACGCGTCGATCGAAGCCTCCATCTCGTTGATGACGTGTCTCGTGGGCACGTTGAGCAGCAGGCTCTTGTATTTGTGATTCATCACGAAGTTCTTGTCGAAGATGATGGCGGCATTGGTGATGTTCAGGAGGATCGCCAGCTGCCGGATCGCCTCCGGCACCAGGTCAGCCGGCGGCATCACCTGCAGCAGTCGCGACACACGAGATGCTGAGATGTTTAAGAAGTTGCGACGACTGACGAAGTGAAAGACGACCTCGCGAATCCCCACGCGGGTATTCGGATTTAATAACGTGCCGACTGCTTGTCTAATTCCGAAGTTACGCGGGAAGCGTAGCAAGACATAATAAAGAAAATAATAAGAAGAAAATAATAAGTTGCAATTTAGTTGATATCCAGTCAACACCGAGCATCAGTTACGCATTCATGTTATCGAGTGCGAAATCATAAATAAACGTAATATGACTGTTGTAATGTTAATATTCAGTCATGAAGAGCCAACATGCAGTAAATACATAGCGCAATAATAAAGCACAAATTAATATCTCATTTCATGTTTAATATTGCAATGCATAATTAACGCGAGTTGAAGTGTTAATTTTTGCTTTATTATTTCATCATATGTACTTTGGCTCATGACACATTTCTCACACAGCCTTATCTCTAATCTATTAATCTATTATCATTAATAATGTGGCAATACACTATTATAACATATATATTAACATAAATGCGATAAAAGAGAAAACGTTCGAACGTGTTTCTACCCCGACAGACGTGTCTTCACGTGTCCACACAGTCAACGTACACAACCAATCACGGTACCTGGATCAGGTAATTCCTCTGATCGACATCCAGGTTCCTCCAGTACTGGATATCGTTCTCTTGCCCGTACTGAGCGGACAAGGTCGGCAGTCCGAAAGAGGCGGTAATCGAGCTGGCGACTTCGGCGCTCACACCGGCCGTGGACACATCCAGGACCAAGTCGGGGACTGTGGAGCCACCCTGGCTGATGGCCGAACTCCAAGTCTGGCATATGTTGTCCATGATTTCGCCGACATCGGTCTCGTTAATCTGCACCGTCGACACCCGGCCCAGATAACTCGGAAACTTCTCCCGCAGAGTCTTCAGGGCGTTCGTCACGCTCGCGTTGGCGATCTCGTTCTTCACGCCATTAATTATAACTAATCGCAGGGGAGAAAGGTACCGTCGACGCGGCATGCAAAAAGAAAAGTCGAGGTGAAGTCGAGCCGGAGACGATTAATCTTAAGTAACATCCTACGGGGTTCCGCTTGGTAAACTGTCTTAAAAAATCATTCTAGTCTAAAAGGAAAGTTACGCCTCGTTACGAAAGATAAAACTTTCCCACGGCAAGTACAGAGCCCGGAGAGAAGCTCCTCGGACTCTCTCTCCGAACGAGACGAAAGCCTCGCTGCTGCGCCCATAAGAGACCGCGGGAGATTCTTATCGCGCGATAACAAACGCGTCACTCGATAAACACACGTTATGGCGTTGATCAATCGTGAAATATGTTTACGAGCTCGGGCCACCCCATCGAAGCCCCGATCCATCCCGAAGAGTGAAACCTACAGAGATTCACCGGCCTCGACTGCGTCTGCGGCTTCTGCTTGTCGCCCGACATGTCCTCCACCCCGTGGACCGTGAAAACCGCTGATAGAACGTGCAGCAAACAAATACCGACGACACGACCGCCGAACGCCATGATCGCTCGTCCGTGAAACTCGCGCGGGGACTCGGCGTTCTCTCCGGGAAAACGGCCGAAGATGATCGGGAAATACTCTCCGGGATTCTCGCTACAACGGATTCTCGCCCGGCGCGATATCACTTATCAGTATTCCACCCTTCGTCAAACGACACGGGGGGTGGGGGCGTTCGGCGAAAGTCCGCCGCTTCCTTCGGAGCGAGCGACTCCGGAGTACTTCCGGCGCGATTAAGCGTAACTGCGCTTATATCGAGCTCGATATCGTTAGTTCGGTCTCCGAGTGAACGAACGAGCGAGCGGCGTGTGTGAGAGAAGTAGGACGCCGGGGTGGAAGCGCGGCCTTCGCGGTCCAGTTACGGCTCGAGGGTGGAAACGTAGTCGCAGTTATGGCATCGGGCTGCTTCCTCCCCGGGTGATTCTCTCTCTCTCTCTCTCTCTTTTTCTCGCTCTCTATTTTTGTTTCTTTCTCTTTCGGGATTCGCCGTGATGCACGTCGAAAACTCAAAGCGGATATTGCGTGTAGAAACCGGTCAGCTGTCTACTGAGGACGCTCCGCGGAGTCGCTCCAGGGTGTCCGCCGGTTTTATTTGTGTTTGCCCATTGGTTGCCGCGGGGATGACCCTAATCAATCGTCGTGCGCCCGGCACGCGTGTCATCTCTCCTCCTTTTCGGAAGACTCGACGGACACATGACCGACGGACTGACTGATGGACGGACGGACGAACGTTCGCGTGTATCGCGTCGGAGCGCACTCGAGGACACGTGGGCGAAGTAATGACCGCGGGGCGACGGTAATTCCGACGAAATCGTCGCCGGGATCTCGTAACTTCCCGTCGTCGACGAGCGTATATTCCATTTTTGCCCGCGAACTATACCGACGCAGCCTCGGGGATACTTTTAATTCATACGTATCAATATTTTTTTTATATATACATCAATAACCCCGAGAAAGGTATAGAGGGGTTTTTTTTTTCTCCCACGTGAGAAATAAAATCGTTTGCAGCGTGGGAAAATAATAAAATACGTAGCGAAGTAATAAAGTAAAAAAAAAATAAGTCGCTCGCGCTATCTCTCCCTTTCCTTCTGTCTGTATCGTTGCTACGTACGGAAGGGAGGAAAATATGATTAACGTGACTTGAGTAAAATTGCAGACTTTCTGCGTGTTGCGATTCGTTTGTTGTGTTCGCGAACTCTCCACTCGTTCCACTCATTCGCGGTGAGAGCGCGAAGAGCCGCAGACACGCGAGATTAATGCCGCTGAATCGGGCCGAGAAATTGAATTCTCACGAGTCAAACTAGTCGGACGTGGTGTAAACGATTTCGCACACACCTCGAAAGAGTGACTTCCTCTCTCTCCTTCTCTGTATGCGTGCCTGTGTGCGCGCCGCCGAATGCTCGAGGATTTGCATTTACGCGCTGCTCGCGCGCAATCGATCACTTCCATTTCATTGATTCGGTATTTTTCTAAAATCGGTGCACACCTCACGAAGGGCCTTCACTCAGCCGTCCGAATGTATTTCGGTTAATGGAAACATGCGATCGCTTCCTGTACGACACACACACATGCGCGCACACACACAAGCGCTTGTTCAGGCGTGACGCTGCGGGAATACAGAGATATTTGACGAGAGAAACGATTGTACGGAGAGAAAAACACGTGGACACGACTTAACACTTCAATTACATATATATAATTATATATAATTATCCTCGGTAAGTGACTGAGATGAACGCGAATGAGCCGTCGATTCGCCGAGCACCGGCGAGCCGGTGATCGATATTTTGATTCTGTCGCTTCGACGTGTCTTTCAGACGGCGAGGTTTACATACACAAAACGCGAAGATTCCGTAACACGAAGAGCGTTTTTTGTCGCGATAAGTCGCGGCCGGCGGTTTTTCGTTTGTTTAGGACCGGGTCGAGAGAATGTCTACACAATATACTCCATTTCCGCTAATATAGCTGCCATCGTGATGAATCCACCTTATGTGACGGTGATTTATAATCTGTTGGAACGCATATCGCTTAGATATTCAGTCTACGCACACTATGAGCTGGGATTACTTTGTCACGGGGCAGCCGACACGGTGTTTCTATCGCAAATTTTTCCTTCTTCTTTCCTTTTATATTTTATCGATTCAAAAGCAGCAGGGTCTGCTTCGCGCACGTACGACCGGAAAATCATCGGCAATTCGCTGATAGATCGGACGAATTGCTTCAAGAGCGGATAAAGTCACTGAGGGGGGAGGGGGGGGGNGGGGGGGGGGGGGGGGGGGAATATCGCGTATTACTCGAGCATCTCGATAACGCTTGATTTGGGTGACGCAGTCGCGATGGAGAGTTACTGCCCGAGATATCGGTTGTAGTTTTTTCTTGTACGTCACGCGAGCTTACATCAACCGAAAGCGGTTATCAGCGACCGCCGTATGCAAATTGGCCGCTTGCAAAAATAGTCGAAAAGTACATTCCGCGGTCTAGTAAGTCATAATTGCGCGCGATACTAAGTAAAGTCGCGGCATGTCCTTGACACACATGAGCGCATGGGACTGGGAATCTCGAGACGTGTAATTTAAACACAATCCACTCGAAGCCTCGCAATAAAATAATAACGTCCGACTTCGTCTGCCCGCATCGAAAGCGCAGATATCGCGTGCAGCGGCGAACTACTTGCTGCAACGCTACTACATTGTCGCAACAATCATTGTTATTCTGTCTTCAGTAAAATCGAGATCTCTGGAAATCGAGGAATCGGTCAGATCGGCGAGATCGATGTCAAATATCGATCGCGCCAGCACGTTACGCCCGTTCGGAAACCCGAGTTAAATTTCCCGCTCGTTCGTCGACGCGACGAAATTCGCGGGGCTGCGATGAGAATATTCGGCGGTATTTACGAGCGCCTCCCGAAACGGATGCTAAATCGCACACATCGCCTCGGCCGATATTGGCGCGAGAATTCTCGGCTCCGATATTGTTTACCCTCGCTGGCCCGTTATTTTCTGCGGCACTCTCGCCGGCACTCTCGTTTTTACAAGCGCTCGTCGTTTTTCCTCGTCGTGCCTCTTTTGAACGACGGTACACCAGCCGGTATTGCAGATACAATGTAATGCCAGCTAGAAAGATCCCTACGGGAATAAGCAGAAATATCGCCCTCGTGTCGTCGAGCGTGAATCCCGGGTCAATTTCGTCACTGACCGGACACCGCGCCCTAGCCGGATTCTCATCCCACCATTGCTTCTCCAATTCCGACGATATCCCCCGCAACATGACCTGCGTGATTCTACGTGAGGGAAGAAAAACACGGGACGTGTGAAAGAGAGATGGACAACAATGATCGTTTGTATGTTACCAACAATTACGCGTATCTAAACGTCAAACGTATTTAGACATCGTACGATTTGACATGACATGAAAAGGGAGGGAGAGAACAAGAGATATCGGAGAAACGAATCAGAAGTGAATTAGAATCTCACAAATGTCCAGGATACGTACGCGTCGTTGAGCCTGCTCTTCAACGGCGAGCCCTTCTTCACGGCGAAGGCGAAGGGCCTCACGCCGAATTCCTTGCCCACTTGCTTGAGATCGCAGTTCGTCAGCTCGAGGTACTTAATCTGTATCGCCTCGCCGATGTAAGCGAATTCGCGAGTGCGATTTATCCTCCGTACGTTCCTCACGGCTTCTCGCTTATCCATGAGAAAGCCCGTCTTCTTCATCGCGTTGTAAATCTTCGTGTACTTATCATCGACCGGATACTCCCATACGGCGAGCTTGTTCTTCTCCCAACCCGGCACGCTCTCGTCCAGGATCATTCGTCGCCACAGACTGTAAACATTCATTCGAGCGATTACGCCGAAATTCACGAGCTGGAAAACGACGATCCCGACGATCGATTGGCTTTTATCTTGTTGAAGGGGAGCGTATCGCTCCGCGGAACAAGCGATCACGTCGAGAAGATCAGCGTCTTAAGAGGATATCCTCGTGTAAAACCTCAAAATTTTCGATTTTCTCGTTTCGCTTTTCCGTCTTAACCCATTAACTGCCAAATTTTTTTTTTGAAATTTTTGGCCGGATAAGTTATATATATGCACAAAAAGTTGTGTAACAGTATAATTATATTCAAATTATGTTTTGTTTTGAGCCTCAAATGGGAATCCTGACAGCTAATGGGTTAAGTTTCAAGTGTAAAAAATACGTTCTTGAAATGTTTTGGCAATATCTGTACAATTAACGAAATTATAAGCGTATGAACGGAGCAGGCCTAAATCTATCTTCGCAGAGGAGATTTACCGTTCTATAATGTGGTTGAAATTTAGAGCAATTTTCGAGCGAAAATCGAAACAATTTTTTCTTCAAGTTTAATCTCCATAAAAAACAAAAATATGCGAAAAACGATAAAATTCTGCGAAATGTGTCAATATTAACATGAACGAGAAAAAACGTACAAGATTGCGCGCGCGCGAACGTTCACGCGAATGAAAATTTTAGACTCTTTTTCTTAATATTAATATTAATTAATTTTAATATTACCGTGTCGCTGATATTGCTAGTCTTACATGCTTTCAAACGTTATTAAATATAGTCAGAATTTTATTAAGTAATTCCCAAAGAAGATCAATTACGAGAACCTTACAGTTCACTTTAAACAAATTCACAAAGTATTACCTACTTTCATCCGCTCTAGACGAGGATACTTAAAGATACCCTTTTAAAGTCACTGAGAGATTACCGTTGGAAACATTGTTGTCAAACGCCACTGATTCTGTGTAACGCTATGTTAATACAGCATTTATAAATCACACAAAGTTATAATAGCTTTCGCGCGCACGGCCGAAGATGGGCGAGATGCGTAGGGCGGTTATCTTCTTTAATAATGAAAGAGCTGACGCGGATTACACCGGCGAGTATCCTGACAAAGTCTCCGCCGGTATCACGAGTGTTAGTACACATCGGACGAGAGATTGCGCCCGTAATTGGACGTGTTTACGGCTCGCTTGATCGCGAAACAGTTAATTAATTTCGTTGCTGACACAACGATTAGCGTTTTTTAACGATCATTATTGCCGGGCATTATTACAGTGGCGGCGATTCGTAATGCAATCCGGCTGCCGTCGCGCGTCGAATAATAATTTGTCAGAGCGGAAAGGTGGTCTGCCTTTGTATCCCATTTCATGGCAATTTAAATCGCATCTCGCGGAGTAACTCGATCAATCGTGCGCAAACTACCGCGTTATGCCGGCGGATCGGTTGTATCGCGCGCGCATGCTCCATTAGGGCTATGGCACGCGAAAAAAAAGAAACATAAGCATTAAGACTTCAGACACGATGGAAGGAATAAAGGCTGAGACACAATGAAAAGAAAAAGGAAGAAGAAATTAAATATAGGAAATTAGGAAAAAAAGATATTAGAAATAAGTTTCAATTTTATCAGGGAATATATGGTAAAAGTGGTGATCTCGTTTTAAAACACGTTTTCATATCAATTAAATTCGATCGCTGCGGGAAATCCGTCGCCGTGAAATACGAGCGCCTTCGGTTCGCATGAACGGAGTTCGAACAGTCGTTCGCTCGCTCGCTCGTTTGTTTGTTTGTTTGTCTCTTCGTTCGTTCGCTCGCTCTGTGCAGTTCGGTAATATATTCGCGACGTATTACACGCTGCGACGTGTATCAAAGGAGAA